ATTTTAACAGTTGGATTGCCTTTTTATTACTGAATTTTAAGCACTGCTTATACACTATGAATACAAGTCTGGTTTACATTTTCATTTTCCCAATGTTGTCGTGATGAGCAGAAGCTTAATTTTCAAGTTCAATTTGTTAATATTTTATGGCTAATTCTTTAATGAGCTACTTAAGAAATCTTTGTCTACCTCAAAGTCATGAAGATATTCTCCTATATTTCCTCTAAAAGCTTTATAATTTTAGCTTTTTTGTTCATATCTGTGATCCACGTTGAAGTAATTATGTATGGTATAAGGTGTGGGGGGTCCAGGTTCATGTCTGTCCACAGGGATATCAGATTTGACAGCACCATGTGTTAGGATTTTCTTTTCCCCACTGAATCGTACTGGCTCCTTTGCTGGAAATAAATTGGTCCTATATGTGTGGGTCTGTCTGTGCTCCACCAGTCAATTCACTAACCCTAAGTAAACAGCACAGTAAGTCTTGAACTGGTGTAAGTCCTCCAACTGTATTCCTTTCTAATTATTCAGCCACTTAGTCCTGTGCATTTCCATGTAAACTTTAAAATCAGATTATCAACTTCTACAAAAAGCCTACTGGGATTCTGATGGGAGCACTAACTCTACAGATCGAGTTGTGGAGAGGCAACGTCCTGACAATATTGAGTCCTCTAACCCGTGAACACGGTACTCAAAATTATTTAGGTCTTGTTTATCTTGGCAGTGTTTTGTACTTTTCATTGTACAAATCTTACATTTTGTTATATGTACCTTAAGTTCTCATATTTTTGATGCTGTTGTAAACTGCAATCACAGGATCATCAACTTTCATTTTGAACAGTTTGTTGCCAATATGAAGTGCAGTTCATTTTCATACTGATCTTTTTGTGGTCTTGATGAACTCCCTACTGTATCTAGCAATGTTTTGAAGACTTCCAATGATTTTCTGCATCCCTGGTCATGGTGCTGTGAAAATTCGATACTTTTTCCTTTCCAATGTATATGCCTTTCATTTATCTTTCTTGCTGTATTTCCTTGGTTAGGGCCTTTGGTACAATGTGGAATAGAGGAGGTAGGAACGGGCATCCTTGCCTTGTTCTTAATCTTTCACATTAAATATGAGGCTAATTATAGTGTCTGCGTAGATGCCCTTTATCAAGTTGAAGAATTTTCCTTCCTTTCTAGTTTGCTCATTTTTATCATAAGTAGGTGGTGAATTCTGTCATGTCTTCCTGCAAGATCACGTATGCCTCTTCTATTATTAACATAAATTACGTTGATTCTCTGGTGTTAAACCATCTTTGCATTCCTGGACTAAAACCCATTTGTTTATAATGTATCATTCTTTTTATATATTGGTGGATTTGACTTTTCTAATATTTAATAATAAGAAAATTTTGCTTCTATATTCATGTGGGATACTGGTCTATAGTTTTCTTGTGTATTGCTTTTAAAATGAATATTCAAGACTTACTTATAACATCAAAATTTCATAGTTTTCCAGAAGAGGTTATATAAGTATTTGTATGTATTTGTTCCTCTAATGTTTGATAGAATTCACCAGTGGAACTATCTGTGCAGGAAGGTTTTTACAAACCCAATTTCTGTAATAAGTATTGGGCTATTCAGGTTATCTACTTCTTCAGAGCTCTGAAGTTTAGTAATTTGTTTCTTTTGAGGAATTTGTCAACTTCATTTAAGCTGTCAAATTTTTTGGCATAAAGTTGGTCATGAAATCCTTCTTTAGAAAGTAGACCGCACATTTTGGAGCAGTTTTAGATTCACAGCAAAATTCAGAAGAAGGCAGAAACTTCCGGTGTACTCCCTGTCTCCCCAAGTCCCACGCCATCAGCATCCTGCTTCAGAGTGGCGTACTTGTTACAGCTGATGGGCTACGCCAGCACATCGTGATCACCCACAGTCCGTGGTTTGCAGTGGGGGTTCAATCTTAGGCTGCATCCTGCGGGTTTTGACAGATGTATAATGACACGTATCCACTACTAAAGCATCATACAGAGAAGCTTCACTGCCCGAAAAATCCTCTGTGTTCTGCCTATTCCTCCCTCCCTTGCTGTGTTAGTCAGAGTTCTCCAGAGAAACAGAACCAACAGGATGTAGAGAGATTTATCATGAGGCTGTCGTGACTATGAAGGCCGAGGAGTTCCATAATTTATGGCCTGCAAGCTGGAGGCCCAGGAAGGTGGCGGTGTAGTCACGGTGCCAGCCTGAAGGCCGGGGAGCCAGGGGAGCCAACTGAGTCCTGGTGTGAGTGCAAAGGCCTGAGAACCAGGAGCACCAACGCCCCGCTCCGGAAGAGACAGAACAAAAAGATGAAGGGAGGGTGAAGTTGCTGTTTATAGGGGCCCACCCCCATTGGTGAGGGCAGACCTTTACTCAGTCTACCGATTCAAATGCTGATCTCTTCTGAAACACCTCCACAGACACACCCAGAAATAGTGTTTTACCAGCTACAAGGGCCTCTCTCAGCCTGGTCGAGCTGACACACAAAATTAGCCATCATACCCCCCAGCTCCCGATCCTTGTACCATCTCCATGGTTTTGCCTTTTCCAAGATGTCATATAGTCGGAATCATATAATATGTGGCCTTTTCAGACAGGCTTCACTGGATAATATGCCTTTAAAGTCCCTTCATGACTTTGCAGGGCCCAGAGCTCACTTCTTTTGGGCACGGACTGAGACTCCGTGGTCCGGATGGACCACAGTTTATCCATGTGCCGAAGGACATCCTGGTTGCTTCTAGGTTTGGGCAATTATGAATAAACCTGCTTATAAACATCCGTGCGCTGGTTTTGTTTTGGGGGGGTTTTCAACTCCTTTGGGTAAATACCAGGGAACATAACAGCTGGATTGTATGGTAAGAATACGTTTCATTTTGTAAGAAATTGCCAAACTGTCTTCCTGACTATGCTATTTTGCATTCCCACCAGAAATGAACCAGAAGAGTTCTTGTTGCTCCGTGAGATCGCCACTCTCATTCTTGATGTTGGTGATTTGAGTCTTGTTTGGGGGGGGTGCTAAGGATTTATCAGTTTTATTGATCTCTTCAAATCAGCTTTTGGTTTCATTGTCTCCATTATTTTTGTTTCCTATTTCGTTTCTGTTCTGATACTTATATTTCATTTCTTCTGCTTCTTTGATCTTCTAACTTGCTTTATCCTTTTCCTTTTTTTTTTTTTTTAAATGGGGTCTCACTCTATGTCACCAGGGCTTAGAGTTCAGTGGCATCCTCATACAGCTCACAGCAACCTCGAACTCCTGGGCTCAAGCCATGCTCCTGCCTTGGCCTCCCAAGTACCAGGGACTACAGGTGCCCGCCACCACACCCGGCTAATTTTTCTTTTTTTTATAGAATTGGGCTCTTGCTCAGGGTGGTCTCAAACTCCTGACCTCAAGTAATTCTCCCGCTTTGGCCTCCCAGAGTGCTAGGATTACAGGCTTGAGCCACTGCACCCAGCCTATCCTTTTCCAATATAGGTGCTTAAATGCTATAAAATTTCCAAGTACTGGTTTAGCTATGTGCCACAAACTTTGATATGTTGTGTTTTCATTTCCAGTTCAAAATAGCCTTTTAATTTGACCCATAGCTATTGAGAAGCAAGTTACTTTATTTCCATGTATCTTGTTACTGATTTTTATTGCTGTTATTTCTAATATGCCTTGTGTGACTTGAATTTGTATACATCTCTTAAGCCTTGCTTACTCTCTCAGAATATGATGTTGGTAAATGTTCCATGTTTACTTGAAAAGGATTTATTCTATTGTTGGGTGGACTGTTAATTAGGCCAAGTTGGTTGATAGTATAGTTCAAGGCTTTTGTATCCTCCTGTTTTTCCATCTACTTGTTCTGTCAATTATTGAGAGGTGTGTTGAAAACTGTTACTGTAATTGTAGATATGTCTACTTCTCCGTGCAGTTTTAACAGAACTTCAAAGCATATGCTGCAAAAACAGAACTATTTAGGATTATTTCTTCTTGATGAACTGAATTTTTTCTCATCATGAAATGACCCTCTTTATCATCCCTAATTAACATTCTTTGCTCTGAAATCTAACTTGTCTAATAATATAGCTACTCCAGATGCCTTTCAATCAGTGGTAGCATGCATGTACCTTCCCAGCCTTATATTTTTCTCATTACCATTTATTTGAGACACGGTCTCACTCTGTTGCCCAGGCTAGAGTCCAGCAGCCCCATAGTAGCTTACTATAACCTTGATTCCTAGGCTCAAGTGATCCTCCTGAGTAGCTGGGACTACAGGTGTGTGCCACCATGGCCAGCTAATGTTTTATTTTGTAGAGATGGGGATCTTGCTGTGTTGCCCAGGCTGGTCTCTCCTAGCCTCAGGCAGTCCTACTGCCTCCCAAAGTGCTGGGATTTATAGGCATGAGCCACAGTGCCTGGCCAACTTAAAGTGCAGCATATAGTTGGGTCTTGCATTTTCATCCAATTTCTGTCTTTCAACTGGGGCATTTAGACCCATTTACATTACATTTAATGTGATTGTTGATATCGTTGGATTTAAATCTATCTTGCTTTTTGTCTTCTATATGTATATCTGAAATGGATAGAGAAATACTTAGAATATAGACCATGTATATATTTAATATGGTACTTAAACTGCTTTGTGGTTCAAGATAAAATAACTGAGTGCCTGCACTTTGATACTCTCTCTCCTCTAATATGTAATTTTGGGGGGAAGTTCACCTTATATTTTGGAACTTACAATATATACAGATGATTCCCACATTTACTATCTCTGAGATAAATCTGAGATTCTGACCTCTATATCCAACTGCCAATTTAATAGCTTCACCCGGGTGTCTCACAGAAAACTGTGGCATCAGTATCTAAATTCACACAGCTGAGGGCTAACAAGCTGTGACCCCCCCCCCTGAAGGCACGGCTGCTGCCCGGCCCAGTGGCTCATCAGCCACACGCAGGAGTATTTCCTACCACGTGCACCACACATAGGCCTCAATACAAGACAAAAGATCCCAGTTAAATAATCAAGAGGATCCTTTATTTTCAATATAGATAGTATCATAATTCATCAAAATAATTTATAATAGTCAACTGCCTCTTAAATATTGCCTTATAAATGATGCCTTTCTGAAGCTAAAAGTAATGTGGATTCAGTTGTTTTAAATTATCTATTTAGAACATATTCAACAAATGATAGAAGTAAAAAAAAAGTCTCCTATGAAGTCTTCTACGAAAAGCAATCACAAGTTCCTGATCAGATAAATACCATTCCATCATTAAAGGAAATTTTAAAAGAGGCATAAATTTGAATAGAAATGTCCATTTCCTGGGTTTTGTCCTTCTGTACAAACCCGAGTCTTTAAAATTATATTCTGGTTTCCCTCTATAATCAAGAAATTCTTTACTAGCAGCTCAGACATGATCGTAGTGAAACATACTTCTTCACCTGTGGTCTCAGATCTGCCAACATGCCCAGGCATCTGCAGGACAGGGAGATGGTCATCCTCCCCAAGCTGGCTTGCAGAGGAAGCAAAGCCCAGTGGACCACCATTCCAGCCATGGCGCCCACCTTAGCCTTCTAAATGCCACTGCTGGGAGGAGGAGCCATCGCAGATTGCCATAGCAACAGAGCCTTTTTGACCCAGTGGATCCACCGCTCTCAGGCACTGTCCAACTGACACCTGGTATAGCCGATTATTTTTCTGAAAAAAAGTATCAAAAAAATACCACCAGTTATTTATTTTAAAAACATACTGGCAAAATATGGTTAAGAAGAGACAGAAATCCAGAAGAGATGTGGAATATTTAAGAAAGACAATTAAAAATTATGGGATACAGTAGTCCCCCAAAGATTAGTTTCTGAGGTTTGTTACTCGCAGTACAGGAAGATATTTTAAAAGAGACCCAAGTCAACTAACTTTTACCACATATTATAAGTGATCTATTGTTGTTAACCTCTTACTGTGCCTAGTTTATAAACTGAACTACCGTAGGTATGTATGTATAGGAAAATGCATACATAGGGCTCGGTACTATTTGCAGCTGCAGGCATGCACTTCACAGGGGTCTTGAAATGTCTCCCCTGTGGCTAAGGGGGCCCACCCCCCAGCATCACCAAGCACTGTCCTCCTTACCCCAAAGGTCCACTGCTGGGACCCTCCAGACCCGTGGCACTTCATGAGTCGTGGTGGGTCTGACGAGCGAGTTTCCGACATATCTAGACACAGGAGGTTATTTAAAACCAATTCATGCTCTTCATTATAAATCCAGATCTAGAGAAGACACAACAGATCAGAAACCCAAGTTTTGCTTTAGATATTGAAATATACTTCACATGTTTGTGCAAGAGAAACAGATTTATTCTGTATGGTCTCAAAGCAGAAACAGACCAGTGTGTGTATACAGTGTAACTCCGTCACCCCAAACTTCTTACATTTTCTGGAACAAATTCCAGCTCTCATCCCACTGTGACCTATGCCACTGAAATGTCACCACAATTCTAATACTTCAGTGTCCACAACACTCAGAAAAGGCACAAAAATCCCTTTTAAACTGTTTTCCAATATATCACCTTAGATGGTATATAACTCTTCTAAGAATAAAACATGCTCGATGGAATTTCACAGCATATACTATACAAAAAGTCCAAGTATTTTGGGTTTTTTTTCCATTCTTGTCTTGAGTGACACCAACCCACCGCTAAAATGGAAATGAACATTATTTAGGACACATTGTGAGCATTGTAGTCTTGAAACAGCACAGGTTCCTAGATTGGAGTGCTGTTAGGTTATGCTATTTTATCAGATACAAATCAGTTTAAAAGTACAGTGCCAAACTGAAGTTATCTGCTTATTTTGGGGGCCATTTTAATATCATTGACACACACATGCACTGAAATGATTTGCCATTAAATTCATATGGCTTATACATTCCATATAATATTGCAAAGTACAAATAACGCTCTGAATGAAATGCCACTATAACAAATGATGAAAGGAGGTAGGAAAAATACACAAAGGAGAAGAGACAAAAGTAGTTGTCTAAGGTCATTCCTAACTTAAAACTCTGAACATTTTGATTTCCTCCAGAGTGACTGCCACCAACTTCCCTTCACTCCAAGCCCACCTTCCAAAGACTGGCTGGGACCACAGAGGCATCACTCACCTGATTTGGGTCACCATAGTCACAGGCCTTGAGCACTACTAGGCTTCCCTTCTGACTTGGACGTCCCTGGGCCACCAAACACTTGTTGGTCTGGAGGTGATAGAGCTGTAAAAGAGAGATCTCTTTACAACTCAGCATGCGAAGAAACAGCAGTGTCAGAAGATGCCTCAAAATATTTGACATTTTAAGGCCGGGCGCGGTGGCTCACGCCTATAATCCTAGCACTTTGGGAGGCCGAGGCGGGCGGATTGCTCAAGGTCAGGAGTTCGAAACCAGCCTGAGTGAGACCCCGTCTCTACCAAAAATAGAAATAAATTAATTGACCAACTAAAAATATATATACAAAAAATTAGCCGGGCATGGTGGCGCATGCCTGTAGTCCCAGCTACTTGGGAGGCTGAGGCAGTAGGATCGCTGAGCCCCGGAGATTGAGGTTGCTGTGAGCCAGGCTGACGCCACGGCACTCACTCTAGCCTGGGCAACAAAGTGAGACTCTGTCTCAAAAAAAAAAAAAAAAATATTTGACATTTTAGATGAAATATATTCTAGTTATATGAATTCCCAAAGTCACAAAAAGACAAGCATTTTTAATTCACACAGAAGCATCAATATAGATACTAGAAAGTTATTAGCAATTTTAACATATGTAGCAGACAGTGCTAGGTAGAAACTCTAGCTAAATACACAAGTTTAATAATCTATAAGGGATGAAGGAAATTAATATATCATCCCTGCCCTAAAGAACCTTAAAATGGCCAGGTGTGGTGGCTCACACCTGTAATCCTAGCACTCTGGGAGGCCAAGGTGGGAGGATCAGTCGAGGTCAGGAGTTTTAGACCAGCCTGAGCAAGAGTAAGACTCTATCTCTACCAAAAATTAGCTGGGTGTGGTGGTGCGCACCTGTAGTCCCAGCTACTTGGGAAGCTGAGGTAGGAGGCTCACTTGAGCCCAGGAGTTTGAGGTTGCAGTGAGTTATGACGATGCTATTGCACTCTAGCTAGGGTGACAGAGTGAGACCCTGTCATGCATACACAAACGAACCTTAAAATGAAATAGAGGAAATAAGAATATGTATAAAAAAGACAGTATATAATTAAATGTAATATATATGCTAAACTGGAGATAAACAGATAATAAATAGTAATAATGACAAGGGATTTGAACTACATGGACACACACCTATATCTCTCTTAAAGAGAACACCAACTAACAAACACCTTGATGGCTGTTTTTTAACCTTATAAGGTAGAACAAGACGGGGAAGAGCCCTGGGCTTACTCCTAGCCACTGAAGGACAGCTGGCATTGTAAAAGAACACTGGAGAAACGCCTTCTTCATAACATAAAAGAAGGGAAACTGGGCAACACTGACAGGATCTACCCTTAATGTTCAGAGTGCTGATTCTAAGAAGCGACTCAGAACAAAGGTATGATTTTATTGCTAGACTCCTACAATTTAAGTATGATTATACCTACAGCTATGAAAAAAACTGTAAGAAATAGACAGCTAAAGAAATGTGGCTGATCAATGTGCTACTGTCGGGACCTTGGGTGTGAAATCCACTTCGCAAGCCGGCACTCTGACCCTACCCACCACCCTCACACCCTCTCTGGGAGTTGGTTCCAGTAATAGCTGCCCCATGTCTCCATTTGCTTTCTGGACTGGTCTCTGCCAAATAAACTTTATTCTTACCTGTACTGCCTTTATTCATGTGTTATTCACATCGGTATCTATGCTCTTGGAAGCTGTCACGTAACTTACTCTTATAGAAGTCTTGTTCCCTTTAACCCCAGAAGGTAAAGGATCTGGATATTAACAGCTAAGATATTAAAATTTCTAAGGTCCTACACTTGAGAAGAAGAAAGTCCATAAAGAAAATATAATAAAAGGGAAGCTAAAGTCTATCATTAACTCTAGACTTTAAGTCTAGAATGTCATTCATTATAGCTATAGGCATCTCAAAACTTTTCATATCATACAACTTTTCATGAAACACACTTTGATACGATTGCTTTCTTACCCTTCCACGTTGAAGGACTTTGGGGCGTTTCAGCCCCCTGTTGATAAAAATGGGTTGCTGGGGTTTGGCATGGGGCCCAGATATCTGCATCTCTGGGTAAATGTTATCCAAATACCATTTAAATGATTTGCAACCCAATTTCTTCCTTAATTCAACACGCTCACTGATATTTCCATAGCTTTTGGTCTTGAGATCAGGTCTTAAGGAAAAATACTGCTCCTGAATTGAAAAAAAGACAGAATAGATTTCTTTTGTTAAAAATGTATATTGGCCGCGTGTGGTGGCTCATGCCTGTAATCCTAGCAATCTGGGAGGCTGAAGCGGGAGTATCACTCAAGGTCGGGAGTTCAAAACCAGCCTGAGCAAGAGCGAGATCCTGTCTCTACTAAAAAAAACAAACAAAAAACAAAGAATATTATATGGCTGGGTGTTGAGTGGCTCACATCTGTAATCCCAGCACTTTGGGAAGATAAGACAGGAGGATCACTTGAGGCCAGGAATTCAAGACCAGACCAGCAATATACTGAGACCCTGTCTCTATAAAAAAATAGCCGGGCATTGTGGCACACTTGTAGTCCCAGCTACTCGGGAGGCTGAGGCAGGAGAATCGCTTGAGCCCAGGTGCTGGAGGATGCAGCGAGCTGTAATGATGGCACTGCACTCTGCCCTTCAGAGTGAAACTCTGTCTCAAAAAGAAAAAAATATTATGCAATTTATTTTTCATGCTGTTTTCTTAATGTTGCCAGAAAATGTCAATGGAAATTTTTTACAAGTCTGTTACTAACTGGCAAAAATAAGACATACCTTAAATTGTAAGATACATCCCAATTTCAGAAATGGCAAAATGTATAAAACTGTATCTGAGAATCAATGAAAAAGGCACATATATGAGATCAGTGGTTCTCAAACTCTTTGGTCTTGGGACTCTATATTTTTAAATTATGGAAGACAACAAGAGGTTCTGCTTCTGTAGGCTGTATCCATATTTACATTAGAAATTAAAACTGAGAAATTTAAAAATATTCCTTAATAGCACTCATTTTTAAAAACAAAATGTAGTGAGAACAGAGGCATTTACTTTATATTTTTATAAAACCTTTTACCGGAGGGGCACTGTGGCTCACACCTGTAATCCTAGCACTCTGGGAGGCAGAGGCAGGAGGATTGCTTAAGGTCAGGAGTTCGAAACCAGCCTGAGCAAGAGCCAGACCCTGTCTCTACTATAAATAGAAAGAAATTAATTGGCCAACTAATATATATATATAGAAAAAATTAGCCAGGCATGGTGGCACATGCCTGTAGTCCCAGCTACTCAGGAGGCTGAGGCAGCAGGATCTCTTGATCCCAGGAGATTGAGGTTGCTGTGAGCTAGGCTGACGCCACGGCACTCACTCTAGCCCAGGCAACAGAGTGAGACTCTGTCTCAAAAAAATAAAAAGAATGAAACATTTTACTGTCTGGCTTAAAAAGTCAGCTAAGGCCAGGCGAGGTGGCTCACACCTGTAATCCTAGCTCTCTGGGAGGCTGAGGCGGGCGGATTGTTCAAGGTCAGGAGTTTGAAACCAGCCTGAGCAAGAGCCAGACCCCATCTCTACTATAAATTGAAACAAATTAATTGGCCAACTAATATATATAGAAAAAATTAGCCGGGCATGGTGGCGCATGCCTGTAGTCCCCAGCTACTCGGGAGGCTGAGGCAGCAGGATTGCTTGAGCCCAGGAGTTTGAGGTTGCAGTGAGCTAGGCTGACGCCACGGCACTCACTCTAGCCTGGGCAACAAAGTGAGACTCTGTCTCAAAAATTAAAAAATAAAAATAAAAAGTCAGCTGAATTCTCACATCTGCATTTAGCCTGCTATCATATGTTGTTTTGGTTCAATATACGTATTTTCAAAAACATCCAATGAAAATATGTAGTTGAAATGGAAAGAATATTTTAATAGCTATTACAGATAATTATGGTTATTTTTTTTATATGACACCAAAACTCAACTTTTAAAGTTTAGTTACAATATGGAATATGAAATCACATCATTGAGATTTTAATACTGTTGCATTAAATGTACTGGTCTTTCTCTTTGAGTGGATCTTTTATCCATGGAAGATTTTTATAACGTCATGCAACAGTGATTTGTAAAATACTGGTCTATTATACTGTACATTCCACCAAATACTGAAAAATTTCACTCTACCATATCAAAAAATCACATTCATGTATATCACCACTGATCTCATCAGTAAAGTTTTTAAGTACTAGGAAGCTGTCAAGCTCATGAGGGCAGAGACAAGTTTTTCAAAATTTGGATTTTCATTTGAGAGCTTGAATTTTATCATTTGTAACAAATACTATCACCTGCTTTCATTTTCATTACTTGGTTCATTTTTTAGAAAGTACTGTTAAATACTCAAATATGAACAATTATGGCTTTGAGTCAGTCATTCTGTACACAGAAAGAATGTTCCTGGAGAACACTGGCTGGCTCCGCTCACAGCTCACACAACTGCACAAGCGTTGGCCTTAAACCCGCCGCGGCGCTTCCCTCGGCAGCAAGGTGCTCTCTGTGAGCGTGCACGCTCAGACCACGGTGAGACATGCCGAGATTCATAAAGCTATTTTTAGTGTTGCATCAGTGACATTCTTAAATGAAACTGGCTTTTTCTTTCTTATCTTCTGAGTGGGTAGAAGACTGCAAAGACGACAGTGTAACTCGGAGCTAAGGCACCGGGCGTGTTTCTCCACCGCTTCTGCACCCCGTGCGGCGCCCACGGCGGAAGCGGCGGCCACTGTACTCGTCTGACTGTGACAGTAGCTGGACCTGGCAGGCCTCCTTAAAGGAGTGGCCGGCACCTGACCATGTTTTGAGAGCGGTGTTAGACAGGGATGATTCAAAGACGAGCACGGAGTTGGACCTCACAGTCTGCGGAGGTGGGGCGGAGAGAGTGCTGTAGCGGAAGTGCTGTGCACCCCGTGCCCAGGCGGCTGCTTCGCCCCCACCTGCAGGCACCCACAGCGCTGAAAATTACCGTGCACTCCCCCATTCATCTTGTCCGTGTGCGCTCATTAATATTTATTTTTTTAAATCTACACAAATACAGAAACATTTTTGATAACAGTCAAAAACTGAAACACAAATGTCCACCAGCTGATGGATGGATAAGTAGAATGTGGCGAATTCATACAATGAAATATTATTTGGCAATAAAAGTAAATAAAGTGCTGATCCATGGTACAGCATGGATCGACCTGAAAATACTGCGCCCCAGAAGAAGCAGATGACAAAGACCATGTAGTGTCTGATTCCATTGGTATGAAATCTCCAGGAAAGGCAAATCAACTGTGAAGTCAGGAGGTAGATTAGTGGTTATCTGAGGCTGGGAAGAATGAGGAGTGATGAATGGAAGTTTGGGGTTGATAAAATGTTCCAAAATTGATTTTTGTCAATTATTTCTCAATAAAGCTATTACAAAGAAAATACTGAAAGTAGCCTAAGGCAGAAGAGAAAGTGAGAGGGAATGCTCAGTGTACAAGCAGAGGGAGTATGTCCCAGCAAAGTCCAGTGAACAAAAGAAAGAAGCCAACCCCATGGGAGTCACAAGAGGGACCACAAGGAATATCAAAAATGACACAGAGTTTCTTCTGATGTTGACTACATTTCCTTCTCTAGAGTGGCCACTTAAAATATTAAAAGAGTCAGAGTAGAATCAAAAACAAGTGAAATACTGGGTGAAGAGAAGAGAGAAAAAAGAAAGCTAGAAAGAGATGGCCCCAAAGTGAAGGTCAACCAAGCAGAAAGAAGCTAGAGTGAAAAGAAGAGCAACCAAAGCTCTCACCCACGCAGCGACTGGTCCATCACTCACCCTTTCAAACAGAAAATGTCATCTCACCTTGTATTCATCCAACCAGACGTGTGCCAGTCTCAAAGAGTTGTGTGTCATGGTGTCCTGGCCTTCAGGAGATCCATATGGTCGTCTTTTTCGGAAAATGTGTCCCACTCTGGAGCAAGGGATGATGAAGAGCTTACCTCCACACATCCAGATCTGGCCAGAAGCAAAACTGATATTAACAGTCACCTCACACTGTTGTAAGATCAACATATGAATTTTCGGCCGGGCACGGTGGCTCACGCCTGTAATCCTAGCTCTCTGGGAGGCCAAGGCGGGCGGATTGCTCAAGCTCAGGAGTTCGAAATCAGCCTGAGCAAGAGCGAGACCCCATCTATACCATAAATAGAAAGAAATTAATTGGCCAACTAATATATATAGAAAAAATTAGCCAGGCATGGTGGTGCATGCCTGTAGTCCCAGCTACTCAGGAGGCTGAGGCAGGAGGATTGCTTGAGCCCAGGAGTTTGAGGTTGCTGTGAGCTAGGCTGACGCCACGGCACTCACTCTAGCCTGGGCAACAAAGTGAGACTCAGTCTCAAAAAAAAAAAAAAAATATATATATATATATATATGAATTTTCAATGAAATTAAGCTTCATTAAATAGGTGTCTATGAAACTTTGCAAGATATTTCACCTTACTAGATACAAATAAATATTCAAATAGAAGAAAGTCAGAGGGTAGACATTTTTTAAAATTATTTGTCTTTATGATTAAAAAGGAACTAGATTCCAAAACAATGTAATATTCATTTATTACCATGTGCCTGATATTGTACTTACCATAGTGTGCTGCCTTAATAGATCAAGAGATTTGATCAACACTGCAGTCAATACATTTGCAAAAATACCAAATGACATATGCACAAGCATTGTGTTATTATCGACAGGGATTCTGCTAACTGGAGGACAGGACAATGGGAAATTCGCTTGGAAGGAGAAGTCAGAGTTCTTTCCTCCAGCTTTTTATTGGTGTTTTCCAAAGACTGTCCACCACCGAGGTCCCCTGAGCCAGAAACCCCACCCATACTGTCATCTTTCAAACCTTAGCAATTAGAGAAGAGAGATTACGAAAAGTGAATTCTTTCCTGGGGTTAGAGGTACCTGTATATACAGAGGATTCAGTAATCTATACATGGGATGACAGCATAATTTAGCATCAAACTGAGCTACTTCTGAAAGTGAAATGAGGAGCTATTAATTTTTCCAATAAAACAAGTGTGATCCAGAACAGTCTTAGGCAAACAGGGAAGTCTGATCACCATAGATAGATAGATAGATAGATAGATAGATAGATAGATAGATAGATAGATAGATCTCCCTCTGTATATATCTTGATATAAATAAACTGACAACAAAACTCCAGATTAAATGCACATTAAGCCTTTCTGAATTTATACCCAACCATTCATTATAACCATACTTTTATAACTCTTAAAAACTAAACATATATCTTCTTATATGACTTTGACATTGAGTAGATATTATCCATATCATAGATTATGGTAAAACAGCATTAAAGATAATTTGTCTATATAGATAATCAAGGAGAATTTATAGGAAAAAAGGGATCATGGATGACAATTATATTCTACTATACACAAAGTTAATAATTGAGCCATTAAAAAAATAAGATTACCCGAAATGATATTTCCAAATTTTCTCCTCCCCAGATATCCATGCCACTGTCGTACTGCCCAAGGTCATGGAAATACTGTCTGTTCATGGCAAATAATCCTCCAGCCATTGTAGGTGACCTAGAAAAGTAAAATAATTACTAATTCTATATAGTCAGTTATCTTACCTACTATTTTTGTTTTAAAAAATTCAGTGTAGTTTTGGAACATAACTAATAAAAACTATATTAACTATTATAAAACATTTTATCTAATATCAGAATCAGCTGGACCATGCAACTGCATTTTCTAGATTGCTAATAATATGCTAGGCATATGAAGGTTCTTTACATCTGGCATATGAAAGTTACTTTTCTAAGTATCAAAAGTACTCATTATTTTCATATATTTTGAGACTCAGTCTCACTCTGTTACCCAGCTAGAGTGTAGTGGTGTCATCATAGCTCACTGTAACCTCAAATTCCTGGGCTCAAGGGATCCAACTGCCTTGGCCTCCCAAAGTGCTACCATGTTTCCCTGAAAATAAAGACCTACCCATAAAATAAGCCCTAGCAGGATTTCTAAGCATTTTCGCAATATAAGCCCTACCCTGAAAATAAGCCCTGGTGATGGGCGTGGCTACAGTGAATCTGCACAACCCGTGCGTTTTGTCGAGGGGCGGTAAAAAAGACGAGCAGCCCTTCTCATCTGCCTCATGGTGACAGCTACTGTCCCAGAGGTGACCGGAAAGGTGCGGGCAGCTCCACCAACAAGGTCGGCTCCCCTGTCAGGTCCCGGCCATCCTGTGCGGGCTGCGAGCTGAGGCTTTGAGGGGAAAATAACACAGCCCCTGAAAACAAGCCCTAGGGTGTCTTCTTGAGGAAAAATGAATATAAGACCCTGTCTTATTTTCAGGGAAACACGGTAGGATTACAGTTATGAGCCACTGCGCCCAGCTAAGAGTACTTTTCTTATAACCATTTTTAGCAGACATCCACCTGCAATGAATCGCATCCACAGCGTGTGGCCGAGAAGCCCTGTGAGGGAGGCGGGGAGAGCAGCGGGGCAGACAGGCCTGCACGAGGCACGGGCTTCCACCCGCCTCACTTCCTCAGTGTGGACCTAGGGGACTGTGGGTTCTACCGGCCTAAGTTGCCTACAGAAGAGAAGCAGAATTCTCTCTGTGGGGGAAAATCATCTCCCCAGGTATGAATGTATTTCTACAATTTTTCATATAGAATGTCTGGCACTAAGCAAAATTAAACAAATAATGAAGCAATCACTCAGGAAGATAAAATCACATGAAAGAAAAACAAGAGAAACAACCTATAATAGATAGATGTGCAGGGGTTTCAAATATGGAGTTATCAAGCAGAAACTTTAAAGAAACTGCTCAATGTGTTCAAAGATAAAAGACAAGATTGAGGATTCAGCAGAGAATTAGATACTATCAAAAAAGAAACCATGTTTATACACATCTGCAAAACACTTTTGAAAATTAAGACAAAAATTTAAGCGGCCAATTATAAAGGGCTCATCTTCAAAGGCAGCGGAATGAGCCTGACAACGCCGTCATCTTGTGTGGAGCAGCGGCAGCCACGGGCTCCCGAGCGATGCTCTGGGAGCCCTGAAGGAAAGCATCTGCCGCTGCCAACCTAGGTCTGGATATCAAAGTGTCCTTCAAAATAATGGTGGAACAAGGACATTTTCAGAAAAACAAAACTATAGAAGGTCAACTATTCAAGAGCGTTCTTTAGCCAGAATGAGCAGTTCCAGACAGAAGCTTGCAGACGCTGAAGGAATAGAGCGGCATACAGGTGAACTATGTGGGCAAGGCTACCCTGGCACATAACAATTCCATGTCCCATGAGGTTTAAACTATATGTACATCAACAGCAGCATGTAACTTGGGCGGGGGATAACTGGACTATGAACATTCCGAGATCCTGGCGCTGTTTGGGGCAAGTGCCAATTTATATTACACTCTGATAAATCAAGAATGTATGCTGTATTCTCTAGGAAAACCACTAAAAGAACTGTATATAAAAACATGTAACTTCTAGTAACAGGGCAGCCGCTGGGAACAGAAGAATCTGGACTTTGTCCAAAAGAAGGCTGGAGAAGAGAAAATAGGATACAGAACACACAGGGCAAACAGAAAGCAAACACTAGTTCTTTAATCTTAAAAAAAAAATAAAATAAAAGCAATTTTAAGATGCTGCTTACATCTAAATATAAGATCACGGAAAGACTGACAGTAAAGAAGAAACAAAACCAAAACAGCTACTAAAGTCACCATACTGCGGCACGAGGAGAAGAGTAGCAGGGAGGGAGTGATGAGCCACATCTTCCTTTTTCATGCAGACTGGGTCTGAAGCGGGCTGATGCAGGGAATGGGAATGCTTATTATCTAGAGTCCATCAAGTAAGAAACAAGACCAAAAATAGAAACTGTTAAAAGAATTTGCCTCTGGAAAGAAAGGATAGGGAGGAAATGGGTAGGAGATGACCTCCTTTCATCCTAAGTTCATCTACACAATTTGATCTGTTAGTGAATATGTTTTTTATTAAAAATATTAAAAATTAAACATTGAAAGCAACATGACCATGAATATGATAAAATAGGCAAAAACAGACAAAAACTGGTAACTAAGAATGAGAATACATATAAGAAAGCCTAGGATACTTTCTTCTTGCTATGAAAAACTTCAAAAATACTCTATTAAATAAACTACACATACTACACCCTCAGAAAAAGAACACGGAAAGTCCAAAAGGAAATAGCAAACTGAGTCACCACTACTGTCTGCCTCCAACCACAGGCTGTGAGGTCACAGCGACCAGAAGCACAGCGGCCGGTGCCCAGATGGAGTACTGCTCGCCTGAGGAGCGGCTCCGCCAGCTCAGCCCCACGTGCAGAGCCAGGGCACTGGTCTGAATCTCCGGTAGGCGGTGTGAGAAGTGGTGTCTCAAGCACAAGAAGACAGGAAGACAACAGAGAGCCGGATGTGCTCTGCTCGTGGACTTCACTAGTTCTATGAAGAACCGCAACAGATCCTCCTACATAAAACCTGAAAGAGCAGAAGAGGACCTCATTCTGCTGGGAGGCCACACAGATCCCTGGAATCGGCCAATGACTCTATCAACTTCCCCTCCGCTTTCAGATGAAAGGAAGCTAACAAGTTCCAAAAGGCCAACTGAGGATATTCTAGTCACCTGATGTGCTAGTAAAACATTACATGCTAAAGCTGAAGAAAGGCACACCTTGTGACTCAGTAATTTCACTCGACACTAGAATAAGAATGTTCTCTAACATTGCTGCTTGTAACAGTAAAAAACAAAAAAACACCCCAAAACAACCCAATTGCGTCACCAAAAAAACAGTAAACTGGATAAATATTACAGTACAGTCATATACAAGAATATTATATAGCAATGAAAATGAATCGACTATAGCTATATACTGCAGCGTTAAATGAAGCAAGACAAAATAACGAGTCATACAAGGCTTTATTTGCATAAAGTACAGGAGAGGCAAAACTATTTTGTTGAGAGATGCATTAATAGGTAGCAAAACTACACAGGAAAGCAAGAAGATGATTACCAAGGTCAAGGTAATGACACCCCTAGGTGTCAGGGGGGGTGACCAGGAAGGGGTGCACAGGGGGCTTCTGGGAGCTGTTTCTTGACCTGGGTAGTAGTTACGCAGTTCACATTGTAACCACTTATTAAACTGTGTGTGTGTATAGAATGCATTTGATATATACTTTTTATGTAATTTTCCACAACAAATAAAGCTTTGAAGAGTAGGTCCAAGAACTTTAAAAAGGAAAAATACAGGTAAACCTCTTGGTATTCAATCTACATAAGAAATTTACAAAGAAACAACACATTAGAGCAGATTTATATTAGAGAATATGAAACATGAATGAAAATGTAAAAAATTTCATAGGCAATGGCTTAGTAATTGTATTAGTAAGAATCTATCCTTAAAATCCTAATTAAAAGAATGACGTATCACATGTTTGTGACGGCATTATTCACACTGTCTAACGGCAGAGGCTGAAGAGGAGTTCCTGGCCAGCGCAGCGAGCCGTGGTGTCTGACAGTACACACAGCACACAGGCCCTGCCAGGGCACCCTCTGCCGGTGACCCTGGGATATGGCCGAGCTGCTCTGCCTGCCCTCCTCACAAAGCTGAGTCCTTGAGGGCACAGATAATATCTTACTCATAAATCTTTCCCTAGGACTTGGCAGAATACATCAAATTCAATAAGTGCTCAAGAATTTTTTAATGCACAAATTAAGTCAACAGTCTTGCTCCTTGCAAAGAAGGAATTATCTTTAACTTTTTTTCTTTTAAGGATGTACTGGTGGGGAATTTTTCAAACATAAAGGATAAATCTTACTTTATGGGGGCAGTGGCTCCTTCTGCTCCTCCTAGCTCAGAAAGGGGAACAAGGTCCCATTTGAAGTGCAGCCCCCAGTTGAACCCTCCACGGACAACAGGGGACGAGCTGTAGGCGAGGGTGTCAGCACTAATGATGTCGATCACTGGGCACACCACGGTCTGCCTGTCCTCGTGGATGGCGGCCAGCAAGGGCTGCAGCCACATCACGTTCACCTCACAGTGGCTGTCCAGGAACACGAGCACTTCTCCTGAAGAGCAACAACACAGGCTCAGCAGCGCTTGCTAACGCTTTAGGCACAGCCCCCCCCCCCACGATGTGCTGCCTGCTTCCGGCCCCCGACAGCGAACCCTTACACCTCACTGCTGACTGCAAACAAGAGAAGTCCTTTAGCCAAGAATGCTGCCTGAAGTGTAACTGAGGAACAAGTACCATACTATGCACAACTCTTGAAAAATGTATAGACAATTCAGATTCTCTTCAATAAAAAGATTCAAACTCACAGCAACAATTCAGCTCTTTGGATGGCTAGACATTTGGTAATTCAAGGTGTTTTAGTACAATGACAGTGGCCAGCTGTGTGTAGATATTACAATTATTTTAATCAAAATATCTATAAATTTAGCATACACTTAGAATGCATTTCCCTGCCTTAGCAAACAATACAGGGGACATAACTACAATACATTTTCATTAGTGACACAGAAACATATGTAAGCAGCGCAGAGAAGCATGTGCACTGACGCCGCGGGGGAAACACCCGCCACACCACCGCCCCGGAGGCCGCCTCACTCATTCCTGTCTTCCATTTCCCAGCTTCCTTCCTAATGCTCCCAACTCTCTTGGCTCTAACGGTTTTCATGCCGATGGGATACACCTTTCTTCTAGTTAGCAAAAAAGTGTTACTTTTTCCAATTAATGACAATCTAGCTAAATAAAGTAAGATTACACCTGGTCACGGTGAATCTGTGACAATGACTTCCCCAAAATTGGTTTGCTTTTGAGAGATCCTAAACTATATTTGAATAAGGGCCTAAACAGATCATAAAGAAAAAAAACCCTATGACCACAGAGAAAGGAAGAAAAAAAAAAACAAACAAAAAACCCTAAATGACTATTGTTATCTGAAAAAAATAAATTCACAGGAAACTTTTTTCATTTTTGAGACAGAGTCTTGCTCTGTCATCCCAGGTAGAATGCAATGGCCTCATCATAGCTTCACTGCAACCTGACTCCCGGGCTCAAGCCATCCTCCCACCTCAGCTTCCTGAGCAGCTAGGACCACCGACACCCAGCACCACGCCCTGCTAATTTTTTCTATTTTTAGTAGAGACAGGATTTCACTCTTGCTTTGGCTGGTTGTTTTTTTTTGAGACAGAGTCTCACTCTGTGCCTGGCCTAGAGTGCCGTGGCATCAGCCTAGCTCACAGCAACCTCAAACTCCTGGGCTCAAGCAATCCTCCTGCCTCAGCCTCCTGAGTAGCTGGGACTACAGGCATGCGCCACCATGCCTGGCTATTTTTTCTATATATTTTTAGTTGGTCAATTAATTTCTTTCTATTTTTAGTAGAGACGAGGTCCCACTCTTGCTCAGGCTGGTTTCGAACTCCTGACCTTGAGGGATCTGCCCGCCTCAGCCTCCCAGAGTGCTAGGATTACAGGCATGAGCCAGCGCCCCCACATCCCAAACATGTATTTTAACAGTACAATGTTTCAGGTGGCACAATACTGAAAATACCCCAGAATTTTCATCTCATTGCCTTCAGTAATTCAACACAGCCAATTCAGTAAGCCTTTATTTGACTAGAAATCTAGAGAAGAAAGTATCCTAAACTCTGAATTTGCATACAACTGCAGACTGGATATAAAAGAGCTACTTCCCATTTTTTGTTAATTGCTTCAGACCACTGTGGGTTTAAGAGAAAGAAGAGAAGATTCTAAAAGTGAAGTCCCAACGACACCCAGCAAAGCGGCCAGTGGCTCCACAGGATGGGTAGTGGCGAGCAGCGGCAAACACCACGCCCCTTGGGGCTGGTTATCTGGAAGAGCCTGGAGTACAAGAAGGCAGTAGATGCCACTGCTGCCATGGAATGCACCCACCAAGTTCAGTAATTCTCAAATCACTTTCCTGTTTTTTTTTTTTTTGCCATGTCCATGCACTACCTGCAAATTGTATGCCTAATATTTTTAAACAGATTCATTTAACTTAAATTTATTTTTAAAATTTTAAAAATCAAGATCATAAATGAAAATCAGGAACACCAACCTTATTCAGACAGACGTAAACATAAAAAGAAATACAAAAGAATCAATATAACTGAAGACTAATCAGATATATATTCTTCAGTAGACTCTGAGTTTGATACCTGCTCTTTCTTTTTAAAAGGAGAGATTAGTGTACAATGGAATGGTTTTAAAGGTGTGTTAGTAACAATGGAGACTTTCTCCTTGATGGAATCAGAATTAAGAGGAAATAAGAAATACCTTTTATAGTTATGTAAGTCAATCTTATTTCTATTTACCAACTAAAATCATGATGCATATCTCTAGAAGTATATACTCCATTCTAAGAGTTATCAGCATAATTCAAATCAAATAGTTTAGGTACATATATTTTAAACTTTGTATTTAAAAATGTATAAAAGTTCAGTTATACTTTGGTTTAGACTTTTCTACTTATATAAGGAAACAAGATATAAAAGCTATTTGAGGGACAATTAATAAAAAAGGTCACTAGGAAAACAGTTCAACTCACTCCTCTGGGGCAACAGGCCTGGAGTTACATAAAGGCCTTTCCCAAACAAAACAAACCTCATGTCTCTTGCTGGCGATGCCTATTTAAAACACCACTTTTCACAAACTCTGCAGAATCAGAAAAAGGCAGAGGATCAAGCCCTTGTCACCCAATACCCACGGGGAAAAGCCAGCAGGAAGTCATACCTGTCGCATGGGCTGCTCCGATCATTCTTCCTCGAATCAACCCCTCACGCTTTGTATTTCTTATTATTTTAATTTTTCCAGGGAGGTGTTTATGAACATATTCATCTAGTTCTCCTTTCAAATCATCTGAACATAAAGAGTCCCACAATTACTCAAACCATATGAGACATGTGCAAAGACATTTTATAGCTATTCTGAAGTTTTATCTGGCACTTGCTAAAATTCACAACAAATTATCAGGCAAATACTATAGAATCTTCTGCTTTATTTTAAAAGAATATCGTAGTTTACCCTATAGGAATAAAAAGGAAAGAAATGAAGGGTAAGAGTTGGAGTACAAGCTAAGAATAGGTACCTTAGTTACAGACTTGCTAGTACTTCCATAGCATCTAGCACAATGTTTTGCATAAAGAATGTTTAAAATGAACATTTTGAGTGTGTGAATGTTCAGCTAACTGCATATAAATCACATTTAAAATTTAAAACAAAATGAGATGCAAATGACTTTTGTTATAATTTATTAAGTCTTATTCCATTTCAGAATAGTTCAAAAACAGTTTCTGGCCAGGCGCCGGTGGCTCACGCCTATAACCCTAGCACTCTGGGAGGCCAAGGAGGACCGATGGCTCAAGATCAGGAATTCAAAACCAGCCTGAGCAAGATCGAGACCCCATCTCTACTAAAAATAGAAAGAAATTAATTAGCCAACTAAAAATATATAGAAAAAATTAGCCGGGCATGGTGGCGCATGCCTGTAGTAAGTACCAGCTAGTCGGGAGGCTGGGGCAGAAGGATGGCTTGAGCCCAGGCGTTTGAGGTTGCTGTGAGCTAGGCTGACGCCACAGCATTCTAGCCCAGGCAACAGAGTGAGACTTTGTCTCAAAAATGGAAAACAAACAAACAATTTCTGTTGCCCCTACCAAGAATTACACAATAATAGCAGTAACTAAGTCCTTTTATTAAGTTAACATATTTTTTCCAAGAGCATTAAATAGGTCACTTTTAAATTTCATAATAATGTCAAAGCTCATATAAGCTAATAGTAATTATTTCCATAGTTAGTATACCACCAACAACTATAAATTATCATGAATTTTTCCTTTTAGATAAAATAGCCACAAAGTGAAAACCAAAAAGCAGGTTGATTTAAAAAAAAAAAAAAAAAATCAACCATAAATTCTAGAATTTAGTATTTATTTAGCTAATCTTCTATCTGGTCCAGATTCAGATTGACTTAGGGTTTTGGGGGGTTTTTTTGTAATCACTCATTTTTAAAAACTATGTTTTGTTTTCTACTAGCCTTTCCAACTTTTCTCCTATGCAGTTTCAATATTTATCAAGGTTTGAGAATTTTTTTCCCCTAGGTTCCATTGTACATGTTTAAGTATACTGGTATATCAATTTTGCTGCTGCTATGAGAGGTGCCTAATAAATGCTTGCGTGTGTGGAAAAATGCCATTGGCATATACCTGTATCACTGTATTTCTTCAGGTTGCTGTAATGAAAAGAGCAGAAAGAAACCTTGGAATCACACAGGCCAGGGGTCTAAATTCAACTCTATTACTTAACAGCTATGAGGTCCTCAGCAAATTACTTAATTTTTATATTTCCTTTTCTATTAAATGAGGTTCTAGCCTTTCTTGCAAAGTTGCTGAGAGCTGAATGAGTAGTGTAAATGAAAAGCCTTCCATCCTGCTTGTGTACATGAAGCCATTCTGAGCAAGAGTCTACAATGAATTAATGCAAGGTGTATAAAATATGTAGTGAATCATAAAATATTGACATTCAGGGATCTAAGAGCTATGAGAATGCGGTCCATTTTATCCGGGGACAATCTGTGTAAGAGACTTGCTAGGTAAATGTAAGTCAAGGCATTATGCCAAGTGAAGAAGGCGAATCTCAAAAGAGCATGTGCTGTATGATTCCATCTATGTAACATTCTTGAATGACAAAAATCACAGAAAGGAGTGGTTGCTAGGAATGGTGGGGAGAGGGAAAGGGTGAATATAAAGGGGTAGTGAGCGGGAAATCTCTGGGTAAGGAAGTAGTTCTATATCTTGATTGCAGTGGTGACTACAGGAGTCTACACATGTGACAGAATGCCATGGGACCGTACACACACATCATACCAATGTGGATTCCTGGTCTCGATACTGTATGAGGATGACCACTGGGGGAAACTGGGTGAAGGGTATACAGAATCCCTCTGTAACTTCCTGTAAATCTACAGTTATTTCAAAATAAATTTAAAAAAAATAAAAGCCAACAGAAAAATTCCAAGGGTCAAATTTGGGTAGCACAGTTTGTAAACAGATTACAAAGAGAATGCATTTCTTCAAAATTATCCTATAGCGATGGACAGGCATCTATTCATAATCAGCTCAGCGGCAGCTGCACGCGTAGGAGCCGTAGCTATTCTGTCCAGCTGCGAATGGCCAGCTTGTTGACGTTTGTCAGTACTACCGTGAGGACAGCCTAGACCCTACATCACCAGTTACGGCATTACTTACCAAAGTCACTGTCATCATCCACGAGGATGATTTCATGAAGAAGCTGTGTGGGAGTGCGGTCGATGACACTGTGCACGGTCCGGAGCAAGGCGGAAAACGCCTCATTGTAGAAGCAAATAACAACACTAGCGACTGGCAGGTCAGTCGGGTAGGACTGTTCTTTACATCTGTAAAGATAAAGATAAGGAATTTCGGACATTTTAAAAGACTCAGATGTCTCAGGCTACATACTGTCAGCTTGTTCAGCTTCTTTCTTATAACAACTTTTAAAAAAAAAATTAACAAAACAATGTGGTTTCCTCTTCAAGAGTTTAACATTTTATTAATAATTTATCCCTCCTATACCTGCTATTTTGCTTATTTTTAGGTCAACATTTTAACTTTTTGATTTTTAATTTCTTTATAGAGGCAGGGTCACGCTCCATTGCCCAGGCTGGAGTACAATGGCACAATCGTAGCTCACTGTAACCTTGAACTCCTGGGCTCAAGTGATTTTCCAGCTTCACCCTCCCGAGTAGCTGGGACTATAGGCACGTGCCACCACACCCAGCTAATTTATTTTTTGTAGAGATGGGGTCTTGCCATGTTGCCCAGGCTAGTCTTGCACTCCTGGGCTCACGCGATACTCTGGTCTCAGCCTCCCAAAGTCCTAGAATTACAGGCATGAGCCACTGCACCTGGCCAGACCAACATTCTTAAAATGTCAGGTTTTTTTCTTTTTCAGTCAAGAGTTTAGATAAAAATGTGTTTTCACTGACATCACTGCAAGTGTTTTAATGCAGCACTCATAAGCTGATATCCAGATTCTCCTCAGTGAGGTTTCAAAAGGAAATAGAAATATAAAACTTTGCATTTAAAAATTTTACTTTAAATAATAAGATAATAAAGATTTGAATAAACTATGATATATCAAGATAACAGAAAAGCTTCCATGTAAGAAATTATTTGAGGCCGGGCGCAGTGGCTCACGCCTGTAATCCTAGCTCTTGGGAGGCCGAGGCGGGCAGATTGCTCAAGGTCAGGAGTTCAAAACCAGCCTGAGCAAGAGCTCAAGATAACAAGAAAGCTTCCATGTAAGAAATTATTTGAGGCCGGGCGCAGTGGCTCACGCCTGTAATCCTAGCTCTTGGAGGCCGAGGCGGCAGATTGCTCAAGGTCAGGAGTCAAAACCCGCTGAGCAAGAGCGAGACCCCATCTCTACTATAAATAGAAAGAAATTAATTGGCCAACTGATATATATATAAAAAATTAGCCGGGCATGGTGGCTCATGCCTGTAGTCCCAGCTACTCAGGAGGCTGAGGCAGAAGGATCGCTCGAACCCAGGAGTTTGAGGTTGCTGTGAGCGAGGCTGAGCCCACGGCACTCCACTCTAGCCTGGACAACAAAGCGACGAACTCTGTCCTCCACTC